CCTTCTGCATCTCACGATTTGTTTATTTAAGACAATGACTTTTTTTTCATTTTCAAATTGTATATACATGTCTGATCATAAGACAACGGCAAAGACAAACAAGTATCATGGCAGCAGTACTATACTTTGTTTGCATATTCATTGAACGAGCTATATGTAAACTTTCGATTGAAATCGAATGTTCGATGTTAAATATATACTTTTCATAATAAATTTCTCATGCAAATATAATTATAATGGATTTCTTAGATTAACAATTACATACAAAGAATTTTTCTTAGAAAAATTTATCGAAGAAACGTTTAGTTACTCAAAGAAATTAAAGAAAATTTAATATAAAGTATATACTACACTAGAAGGATTAATAAATCAGATGTCACTTCAGGCGTTATATTCTGATTAGTTGTTGATATAACGAATTGCTATTGGTTCTTTGTTTGTTCAATTCATTTATTCATTCTTTGTTTCGCAATGATATTGTATTGAATTTGAATTTTATTGCTATTTCAGACATTCGTTTCTTTTGAAAAAACAAGTTCTAAAGAGACAAAATTAAAAAAAATGCCTCTTACGGATCAACAATTACGTCAAGAATTAGTACAATTTGGAGAAACGGTTCCACCAATAACACAACGTAATCGTGAACAACTTCGTACTCGACTTCAAGTTCTTCAAGCACGACCACGACCACGTTCACCTGCTCGTGCTTCACCAACACGTGCTCGTGTTAATACATCACCACCGCGAGCTACAACTCGTTCACGTCCAGTACGTGGTTTAATTGAATTAAGTGATTCAGAAACAGATTTATCAGCAAATGATTATCTTCCATCACGTTCTGGAGCAAAAATTCAGACACGTTCTATTGCAGTTGGACGAGATACTCAACCATCAACAAATGTAACTGCTGATGTTGAAGAATCTAGTAAGATTCAGTAGAATTTAATAATAAAATGTTTTATTATTTTATTATTAGTTGCACGTCATCGTCGTGAAATTCAACAATTAATTGATTCAGCTCGTGATAGAACTCGAGCTACAAGCGCAAATCTTTCTGCGACAAAATATGAACCATCATCAATAACACCTCTTCGTCCAACTTCGACGTCATCTCGTCATAGAGCACCATTGAAATCCGATATAACAAAACCTAAACAACCATCATGGTTCAATAATATAGGAAAAGAAATTAAATCATTTTGGAAAACTTATAAAGATACAATTATACAAGCAATTAAATTACTATTTTTTGGTTTACTCCTTGGTGGTGGACTTATTTTGCTTAAAAAGAAAGCTGGCGTTATTATTCCACATAGACAAGGTACATATTTATTGGTTTTATCTTAGTTTCATTTTTTTTGCTTATTTTAGGCATTACTTGTTCTCCTGATAATGCGGTACAACTTTTTATTGATTAAAAGTTTTTATAATTCAATCAATTTTGATTTTAGACATACTGTGATGATATGCAACCAATAATTCATTCTGTAAAACAATTTCTTGAGGCTCGAACTGGTATTTAAAAAAATTAAACTATTTATATTGGAATATTTATTTAACTACAATTATTTAGGTGAAGTCGATTGTGGTTTTCGTGATAAAAGTTATCGTTATGTTACTAAACCAGAACTAAATAAATACCTAGATGAAAAAGTAAAATAGAACACAATAGTTAATTTTTTTGAAATTAATCATTTTATATATTTTTTAGAAATTCAAATTTGAAGAAGGTCCTGAACAACGATGGAATACATTAGTTTCTTATATTGTGGATAAACCAGTTGATGATATTTCGTAAGTTTCGATAAACGAACAAATATATGAGAGATTTAGAGTAATGCACACGCGCATCTTTCAAAGAATGAACAGATCGATGTTTTATCGATAGCTGTAACTAGCGTCTACAGTATTCTAGATTGATGTCAGGATAACCTTCAATTACTACCGATTTGTTGAATATATTGATAGAAAATATGTCTCATGTGCTTGATAAGGATAAGGGACGACGAGCTCTTATATTTACAGAATAAATACTAAATATAGATAGAAAAAATGTGTGTGAGAAAGTATTACAGATACGATTCAGTTTCACATTCCAACAAATTCTTTTCAGAACTATGAGTACCATAAATTGTATTTAGATTATTGGATGCTCATAACAAATATTCAAATGATTTCAATGAAGTAGTAAAAATGAGCGCACAAAAAGGAACTCATTCATTAATGTGTCGTGCTCGAAAAGGCATTAATTCAGCAATGCAAAATCTAGCTTGGCTTCTATTAGGTAATTTTTATTTCGTCACTTTTTACTCAATAACTAATCGATTTATTTATTTAGGTACAACTGGCTTTTTGACATTAGGTTGGCTTATTAAACGACGTTCCAAGCAACATCAAGATGCTGAAAATACCTATAAAGATTTTATAGAAAAAATCACAGATTTACTTGAAAATCAATATGAAGAACATATACGTGATTCAGAAACAAAACCATGGCTTGCTATATCCCATATTCGTGATATGCTTATTCCACCACAAGATCGGTTAGTGTTTTATGAAAAAAATTTCTTTTCTCTTAGAATATAAATATTTAGTAAACGATTAAAAACTCTTTGGGAACGAGCAAAGAAACAAATAAGTGAAAGTGAATCACGTGTACGTTCTGAATCACAATTAATTCATGGTGAAGAATTCGATGTTTGGAGATGGATACAACCACGTGCACCATCTAGTCCATCATCACCAAGAAAGAAACGAGCAGTAAGTTATTAACTGATTCTTCAAAAAAAAAGAAATCTCTTCATAATCATATTTAGGAATCACCACATAGTTCAAACGAAGAAAGTTACGTTTATATGCCAGCTGATGTTGGTTTGACTGAATGTCTTAAATTACGCAATTTCTTCGATCCAGACACGTATGTATAATTTTATAGAGTTCAGTACATAAAAGTCTTTATTTTTCATGTTTTAGTAATATCGATGATGATGAAATGGATCTTGTTGTGGATAGTATCCAAAATCGATGTGCTACAGTTCGAAGAATTGAGCATATTGGTATACATTCAATTTTTGTTTATTTGAAATTTTCATCCAAAGAAGCAGCTTCTCAAGGTTTTCATTTACTTAATAATTGGAAATTTCATGGTAATTTATGATTTTCTTTTCTTTTTGTTTGCATAAGATCAATTTCTTTTAGGTCGTGAGATTATTGCGAAATATCTTCGTCTTCAGCGATATCATGAACATTTTCCTGAAGCAATTAATAGTAGTTCAACAAATTAATTCAAATTAATTCTATGAAAATGTTTTCTCCTTTTTTTTGTTAGTGTTCTTGTTATTTGTAAGCAGCAAAGCTGTTCTATATTGTATTTTTTTTTCTTGAGGAGCTTATTATGAAAAAAAAGAAGAAAAAAAAAGAAAGAAATTCTACTTTTTTTTTTAATTATTATTACCATTGTGTTATTACTTAAATAAAGATAGATATGAATATTGCAGATAAAATATCATGAGTGAATTTACATCATCTGTAAGTTCACAAACAGCAAGTTGGTTTGAATTTTTACTTAATCCAACATTGTTAGATACATTTTTAACAGAAGATAATCTTGGTAATAATTCTTAAAACTAACTGACTAAGCTAACAATAAGATATGTTTTTTTTTCGTTTAAAGAAATCACTGGAACGGATTTGATTATACAATTTTTAATTAGTGCAAATTTAATTGAACAAAAAACAAAACTTAAAACAGCAACAGAAAATCCAAGTATGAGAACATATACATATTGTAGAATATTATGTTAATCTAGCTTTTCTTTAGATGATATTGAATTGAAAGATAATCGAATTCGAGCATTAAGACATTTGGCAATGAAAATAGCAGCAAAATTTAATTGGGATTTAGTTGTTATTGAAAAACGTATTCCTGTTGCGGTTGCTTCGGATCTAATTCATTGTTTCGTACGTTTAACAACTCAAACTGATAAAAATTATAAAGATCGTGAACAATTACAGCAATTAAATAGACTTGATGAACCAGCATTGTTTGCTGTTCAATTACTGCATCGATGGACTGTTAGAACATGTGTTCAATCATCATTTCCAGTGAAACCGGTTAAAATCTTTCAAGTCAATTTAGCTGGATATGTCAATCCATTACAACATATGCGTGGACCAAATGAAAATGTTATAGAAATGGCACGTGCAAAGGTGAGAGAAAGTGTTCAAGCATTAGAAGCTTTATTAGAATGGAAATCAGTTGTACGCATACCTATAGATGCGTGTTTTGGTTTAATTGATATTGAAACTGGTTCAGTACCATGTGATTGGTCTCGTACACAAATTTATCCACTTGTTGAATGTCTTGCTCGTATTTATTATGATCTTGGTTCAATATATTTTTATGAACAAAATTATGTTAATGCATATACAATGTTTCGACGTGTTCATGAGTTACGAAATCAATTAGAATCAACAAATTATTTTTCATCATTAGATGGATATTTAACATCACTTAATGCAATAAATCCATCAATGGAACAAATTCATTCAGTTAAATCTAGAGATCGATTTCTTATGGGTGTACCAACACCACGTACTTCCATTGAAGTAAAAAAATCGAAATGATTTTGTTTAAAATAAAAATCTTATCTATATTTAAATTTAGGAGTATATTACATTATTAGCGGAAGATAATGAAATGAAAGAAATGACACTGGCAGCTCGAAATCGATTAGAAGATCATCTTGAAACTGGATCACAACAATATAGAATTGTATGTTCATTTAATCTAATTCGATCATTACTCGATGGTAAATATGTATCAAATACTCAATATGCATATGATTTTCTTGAAATAGTAAGTACAACAAAAAGAAACTATTATTTTCTTATAATTCATAATTGAACATAAAAGGCATTACAAAAAACAAAACAAGTGACACCAAAACAGCAGTTAATATTGAACAGTTTTTTAAGGTATAGAAAATCTTTATTATTAAATTAATTCTTAATTATATTTTGTTTTTACTTAGAATTCATTTTCATAATTTAACAAAAAATTTACAAGAGCAATTACGCATGAATAATCTTACTCATCTTGTTGGTTCAACATTTTCTATTCCGATTTTACGTTCTCGAACACAACAATCAATACAACGATCTAATCTAATTGAAAGACCAACTAGTTCTATACAATTTAAATGGCAAACACGTTTAATTCATTCTTCTGAACCTGAAATTCTTACACAAACTATTACAGATTTAGATAATGCAAAACTATCTCAAACACTCAATGAATTATTTCCAATGGTAAAATATTTGTCCGCAAAGAATACTATTGACTTCTCCTTCTTAAAATCAATCATAGATTTTATTCAATACAACCCAAGCAGACAAGAATTTGGAGAAACGGTCAATCGGGAACCACGATTGTATCTCATTCACGCTAAAAACAAAACGCCGTTTTATCGATTTTTTTCATATAATTTCTAGTTTTTGAGCGTTAAAACGTGCTTTTACTTCTGTAGTTTTCTGCAATCTGAAAGCAGTGTATTTTAACGCTCAAAACACTGGATCTTTTTATTGCTTTCACGTCCAAAAACTAGATATTATATGAAAAAAAACGATAAAATGGCGTTTTTTTCCGAGCGTGAATGAGATGCAATCGCGGCTCCCGATTGAGCGTTTCTCCAAAATTCTTGTCTGCTTGGGAATTTAACAGAACTAAGAGGAAAAAATTAAATAACGTTCATATATTTTTAGTCTAGTCAGAATATGTGAATATTATAGAAACACAGATCCTCTACTTCATTAAGAATAAGATCCCATCAGCTATAGTATGATATATTGTATTGAATTCGTTTAGGACTCTATTTTTTATCATGTTAGAACTAGAGTGCTTGCTGTGAGTGACAGAAAAATCAATGGGAGTAAGATAAAGATTCAATAGAGTCATTTTCATGGTCACCTTTGATTTATTGCCTAGTCGATTCATCGAAATTCTGGAATTTTGCCAATAAGATTTTCATCAACTAGCACTCTCGCTAGTGTCATTATGTAATTTCACATGCATTCCATACTAATTTTATGTTATTACAGTTGGCAAAAATCCACTATACTCACGCCAAATGATTGCTAAAATTTCGCTAACACACCCCTATACTTTCGCCTATGTTGAATGTCCTATTAGCGAAGAGACAGTAAGCCGGTTCATCCATTACCTACGGCAGTCTGTGCTTGTTTAATTACTTACTGACAAAACTGGCCTCTCTATCATTAAATAATATCTGTGTGTAAAATGTATAGGATCTTATATAAACGAGTCCCTTTTACAACTCGTTCATGTTGGCTAAAATCTATTTCACATTCATATTATTTCTAGTCATTAAAATTAACACCTACTGATCAAGCCATAAATATACTTATGAATACGAATCATTTATTTGGACAATTAATTCGTATTCTTTATGAAAAAGCAAAACGTGCACAAATAAATAAAAATTATTCTCAATGTCATACACTTTTAACTCAAGCTATTGATATACTTAGTTTACATCATCATCAAGATATAACTATTGGACAAGTTATTAAATATCTTCATTATGATCGATTATTATTTGATTTATATGAAGTTATATCCAAACAAACATTTCATGATAATGAAAATAATTTATGGGAAAAATGTCAAAGTTTTCTTACGGAAAATCATTCAGACATTGGTAAATAATATATAAATACTTTTCAATCTAGTTTTCAGATAACAAAGAGAAAAAAAATAGACTTTAAATATAAACTAATCAAAGAAAAAATTTGATTACTTTTATCTTTCAAGATGACGAACTTCCTTTAATTATATATTGATTAATTTCACTTGAATAATTTATTTAAGTATTTGATCTATTTATATTTAGATATTAATACGGATGTTATATCTGCTGCTTTAGCTTATGCATTATCTCGAAATGAACTTCAATTTATTCAATCTTTAATATCAAATAATCGTCGAATTCGTCCACATCTTGATTTAGCTAAATTATTTGCTCGTAAGATCATATAAAATTAAATATTTACTTTTGTTTTTCAATATTTATATTTCTAGGTTTATTAACTAATGAAAATCAAACACAAATACGTCCTGAACTTGCACAAGAATTATGGGAACGTATAACTGATATATTAACTGAAAAATTACAAGGAACAAATGTTAATAAACAATCAAGAAATCGTCATCAACAATCCAATTCATTAAATGATAAATTAACTGTTGTTGAATTACAAAAATTTATAATTCATATCAATCATCGTATTTTACTTCAAATTATATTTTCACTTCTTTCACGTCTCTATTCACTTATACTTGTTGATCAATCACATATTGATATTTATTCCGAATATTCTCGATGTTGGCCAACATCAGTTGATTATCGAAAACGTTCAATACGTACATCAACATTAGCACAACTTATTCAAGCTTTATTTGATCATATACAAACATTAAAATATTTACCTATACAAATAAAATCTTCTCTATTTCGTACACAAGCTGATATACATTTAACATTACAACAATATACACAAGCAATGCATGCTTATATTAGTGCAATAGCTATTGAAACAGCACTTTTTTCATCACCAATAATCAATCAACAAGATGATCTAATAATAAAAAATATGAGCAAAGCTGCATTAAAACTAGGTAAAATATTCTATTACTTTATTAAATTGAATAATAAGTTTCAGGTTGATTTTCTAATGATAAGATTCTCGAATAAATCCAGATGGAATAAAACTAATTATAACAGTTCAAGGTCGACTGGAGTCTGCTACTTCTCCTTGTATATAACCTATACAGACAATCGATTCATGTATTTAGATCTATTGGATAACCTCGAGATTAATAATCAAATGTTTTATCAAAAAAAGATCTTTCTGTTTAATTTACTTTGATAAGTAGTTGCCCTATTATCATACATTCAATGAACCTAAGAAATTATTGTAAACCATCATAAAAGATTCTTTTTTTTCTATATACTTCCTTAACTCATTATATGATATCAATGTAGATGTTTTATTAAAAACAAATTCTATTTCTTTTGATTAGAATTAAAAACATAGTTTCTATAGAAAATCAATCAAGTACAAACAAATTATTAATAATAATTAGTATTCTTTCTTTAGGTTATCATGCACAAGTTGCTTGTATATGTCAATTACTTTCTACACCTGATTATAATACAATATTTAAAACATTACAAGAAAATTATATGAATGATGATATTGATGATTATTACGAATGTATTTGGGATTTAGCACTGTTAGAAAGTTTAATTAATAATCTAAATACACGTGGATATGAAGATAAAAAAAGATTAGCTATTCGAATATGTAAACAAAAAGATTTAAATGGAAATAATACAGACGAAATACGTTTTCGAATGGTACGTGTAAAACGAAGACTATTACTCAAACAAATACTAGCTCATTATCTTTTACCACATTGTCGATTGTATCGATCACGAACAATGATTAAATCTCAGTATCAAGAAATCAAATTTGATTGAAAAAAAAAATAAAATAGAATTTTATAATAAAATGTATTTTTTTTTGTATTGTTGTTGTAATTAACTTAAGTTGATATATACATATAAACCGATACAATTCTATGAGTATCTATACTCTATACAATTGTAGAAAAATATACATAAGTTACGTGTGATATTTGTTATAGAAGCCGCAGAATAGAGCAAAAAAAATGTGACGAAGCCACGATCATTTGACATAAGAAAAAAAATAAACTCTTTCTTCTTTTTAATCCATCGTCTTATCTCAGACGATGTTGTAAAACGATGAAAAACAAACAAACGAAAATGAAACCTTTTACATTCGAATGATACCATCATTAACACATGCATTTACTTAAATATACAATCATTTCTTTTACTGATTTTAGTGTCTTTGTTTGTTGTGTTCTTTTCTCTCCCAATCTCTCTGTCTTCTGTTATTTTTTTTTCTTCTTAAAATCATTAAATATAATAAAAAAAAAACGAAGGAGAACGATTACTATTGTTAATAATTCAACTCTATGTTCTTTTGTTTGATATACTATATATTGTATCGTATATCAAACAAATAATCTGAGAGGACGAGAGAGAGAGAGAAAGTGAGAGCGACATAAGAAAAATCAGGAGAGAAACTAACGATTAACAGAACATTCGTGATATGATGTCTTAACTGCGTATCTATAAAATGACAATCGTAATCAATAAATAAGGTAAGTTCTGTATGTCACATGAAATAGATTGATAAAAAAAAAATTTTCCCATGCATAATCGATGTCTTTCTTTTTTATGATTGCACTTTTTTCCATTTTATATAAATGACGAGAAAAGAAAAGCAAGGAACATTTTGTCAGCTTCGACTGTTTTTTTACCTTGTTTTTTCTTCATCTTCTTCTTCTTCTTCTTTTACATATGAATAATTATATTTTTTATCATAAGCGAATAAGAAAATGATAAAAACTTGATTAAAAAACAATCAGAGTTTTTCATCTTGAACCAATCTATTTTTCTAACTAACTTAATAAATACATGTTTTCGTCTTATGAAATGTTTTTGTATTTTTTGTTTTACTCGGATTTTTTTTTTTATTGAACAAAATAAAAGGAAATCACAAGAGACAAGATGAAAGATATTTTACGCATTCGATGAACAGCGCCGAAAATTGATGTAATGGAATTTTGACTTTATTATCATTGTTTTTTTGTTCCTTTTTTGTTCGATGAGCTCTTTCTCTTTCTCTCTTACTTTATTTTTCTCTTCTTTCTTCATTGCTCTTTATATTCAATTTTTGTCGTTGCTCTTTCATCCTATAAAAAGAGAACAGAGAAACACATGAGACGAATTCGACTGTTCTTCTCATTGTGTCTCTATTAATACTTCTACTGATAGTGAACACTCTCTTGTCTCTTACATTTAACATAATAAAAAAAAAAGAAGAAGATAATCTTTCATCGTTAATACAGGTTTGACTGCATTAATCAAATAATGATGAGTTCGAATAAAGCCCGTCGCTATTTACAACATCATAAACAATATTCAATGGAATCACAAAATAATCATCAATCAACTAATTATTTATTAGTTGATGAATTATCATCACCATCACCACCGTCAGCTACTACATCACGGAAATTCTTTGGTAAATCTCAACAATCATCAATATTACCTATACCTCAAATTTGTGTCAATAACAATGATGATGATGACGATGACAATGGACATGTTAATATCCTTAATGAATTTGATCAAGTGTTAGACAATGAATCTAAACGTACATCCGTTTTACGTAAATTATCACTTAAACAAAATGATTCAATTGATTATATCGGTATACCAATAAATCAACAACGAAGTTTTTCATTTTCACTTGGTTCAAAACCAAATTTAGCAACAGAAAAACAAGATGATATTGATGTTGATGAACATACTAATCCATTACCATTTAAAACAATGAAACTATCGGCAACATCGAAGTCAACCTTGTCAAAAGAGACATTTTCACGTCTATTTCATTCATTAACATTTCGCTCTGGGAATCATTCAACGTCAAAATTAACCGTAGCAAAAACGGATTCAGAACATCTTTGTCTAACATGTCAAAATCATTCAAATCTTGATATAATACCTAAACATAAAAAACGTCCATCAATATTTGGTGTTTTTGCATCAAAACTTAATACACCACCCACGGAAAATTCATCGAATCGATGTTCATCATGTAAAAAATCTTTATCAAAATCAATTTCAAATAATAATGATGATAATCAACAGTTATCACCATCAAAAACTCTTCGTGATCAAAAACAATTATTTTTACATATTAAAAGACGTCAAAGTCTTCCATCATTATTTCATAATCTTTTGGAGTCATCATCTTCGACAGTGTTTAATCAAAATGTTATTGATAATATCAATCACGAACAGCAACAACATCAACTACAATCTTCAATATTATCACATTCAACAACTTCATTAACTGAATCAGATGATAATAATGATAATAATTCATTGAAACGACAACGTATCAATTATGATGATTCATCTCAACTAACTGAAAAGGTAAGTAAGTTAATCGGTTAAAGATATGCTTATAATTAGTCACAAGATGTTATTTGTCTACTAGCGCGGCACGCGCGCTTTCATTGTATACATACAACGAAGGTCAAGTGTTAATACGGTTGGTCTCCAATAGCAGAAAAAAAAAGCGAGAAAGTTTATTATTGTTTGACCCTGATACATATACGTAGATACTGTCGTCGAGACAGCAATAATGATGAGCGCCAACAGTATCGTTTTGTTATTGTTAATAATAGAGAGCATGGCGTCTGCAAGATTGAGAACAATGTTGGCAATGACATTTTCAGTGTTTAATGATATACCTAAAGTATAGTCATTATTACTGGTCAAGTCAGCCAGACAGAATGATTGAATGAATGCATATATGTGTTTTTTAGCTTGATGATAGTAGACATTGCATTGTATTACACATGCACATTTATAAGTACAAATGAGAATCACATCATTGATAGCTACTGACCTTTTTCTTTTTCATTCGTTCTCTTTCTCTTTCTCTCTCTCTCATGTCTCAATGGCATGAACTGATTGTTGAATCGTATTGATAATGATTACCCATTATTATTCATTCTCGTTCTGTCATATATATTTATCAACAATATTTGATTTTCTTTTGTCAATATACCGACTAATAATAGTGACATTCAAACTTGACCATTATTTTTCTTCTCATTGAGACGATCTAAAGATTGTTTATCATCCTATCACCTTTCAATTTACAAATCAATAGACTAAATACAAAATAAAACATATGCTAATTAAACTTTATTATAAAAATATAATCAAAAAAATGTTGATTTTCTTCGATTTATTTTTTTTTGAAAATCTGATTGTTGTGTGATAAGAACTCATTTTACATGTAGACCATTATATGGCACGTCCATCATTGCTATGAACGCCTTAATTTAATCATAATATTGTCTACACGCATGCATGTTTAAACATTAAAAAACGAAAAGCAAACAGCATCAATTTTTAATTCATATACTATTCGTTTTACTCTAATAAAGCAATAAACTCTCACTAAACACATGTCTATTTATTTGTTAATATCTACCTTTCATTTTCTTGTTCATGTCTTTGATTGATAGATTTCTTTGCCAACTGACCTTGTCTCTCTCATGAACGATAATCATGAGATAAAAAAAAAAGATTTTTGAGTATTTATTTTGTACATTTTCGATTATATTGAATTAAAATAGAATCCTTATTTGAAAGAATATATATAAGAAAAAAAAACGCTAAGCTAGTGTTATTTTAATTGAATTGAAGAAGATGAAATACAAACATTTGTAATAAAACTACCACACAAAAAAGAAAGATTTCATTTTTCAGAATAAAATATCCGAGCACGAGAAGAAGTGGAATAAAAAAATCTAGACAATAAGAAAAAAAATGGAATATCTTTTCTTTTTTTTTTTAGTGTGGAAATAAAGATGAAAATGACAATGAAATTATTCTTGACAATGGTAAGTGTGTTATAGAAAAAGAACCTTTTCGTCATTTTGTTTCTATTGAAATTTCTTTAGGCGAATCACATGATTTAAACAATATGAATAGTAACGATTTAACAACTGAAAATAACAATACTAATCAACAATTTTTACATCCTCCTGAGTAAGTTATTCTTGTTTTTGAAATATTAATTATGCGTTATTAGTAAATAGCAATTCTTCGCTTGTCTCGAATTCATAATTCAATAGAATATTTAGTAATAGTAAATCATATAGATGTCAAAAAAAAATATGTTTTTTTTATCTTAAAAACAAATCTTTTGTTCAAATTATCTTGTCTCTATTATCTAATCAATAAATAATTTTTTCATAATAAAAATCTTGGATATAATTGAAAGTGTAATTGTTTACTTGTCGACATCGATACGATTGTGATAGCGGATATAAAAAGAATTCATATTCTAATTAATCTTGCTTCTCTTTCTTTTATTCTCGTTGTCCACATCGACACTAAGTAAATAAGCTTCACTATTTGTATAACGATTGTTCACACCTCACATCATATGATGACGATGGTGAGAAGAGAAAACGAAAAAAGAAAAAAAAAGAAAATAATAATCTTTGCCTGATTTTCAATCTCATAGAAAATTCATCAATTTATAAATAAATTTTATCGATTTTCCATGTCAATAACAGATTTAATACAGCGAAGGTTTGCAAATTAATTTCAAATATTTTATTTTCTCATTAATAAAAAAAAAAAACAAAAGAAAATTTATATTTTCCTTTCTAGACATAAAACTCGAAGCTTATTAACTAATGTTTTTCGTACACGACGATCAAATCTTACATTAGATTCAAATGAAGTACAAATTCTTTTTTTTTTCATCTTCATCTTAATTTTATTTAAATAGCCTAATATGGTTGGTAAACAATTTAGTGTTTCAGTTCTTAATCTCGCAACATCAAGAAGTTCAAGTCGACGAAATAGTGCAATAGCAACAATTAATGAATTAACACTTGATCAACGAAAACATGCATTATCAGAAGAAAATTTACCATCGATGGTATGTTTATTGATTGAGAAAGATTTTGTAAATATATGAAACCTTCGATTTGATTTGCGTTTATACGGAGAGTTTATTTATTTGTAAATGAGTGCTTATTATGAAGGACAGATTAGAAATGTGTGTTTGGGTAGACGGAAAAAATTTGATTGAAAGAAAGAAGGATTTGAATAAATGTGGAGACAACTAGTAATGCAAATTGAATATAGTCGATATGTGAGGAACATTTGACCTTGATAATAATTGCGTCTATCTCTATTTTAGGATAATACATACATTTATTTTACTGATATTAATGGACAAAATTTTAAAGAAAAACTCAAATATTCAACTACATCTGAAAATACAACATTGAGGTAATTAAAAAAAAGCCGACATATATATATTATTTTTCTTTCATTATTTTTTTGCTTTATAGAGAAATGTTGGTAAAACTCTTTGAAAAACATAATCTATCAATTGAAACATATAATATTTGTTTACGAAGCGCACCTACACTACCATTGTCCTTGGATCAACCAGTCAAACATGTTCTCCTGAACGATCTTGTTGTTACAGGTATAAAAGAGGAGAAGAAGAAAAAAAACGCGCGTGAAGCCATTCGGGTGATTATGTCATGTTGCTTTTCCTTTCTAATTAACGATAAAACCTTTTTTTGTCGTTCCCTTCAAAAAAAATCACTTGGCATACACTCTTGAAATGTCTGTATATATATACAATGATGTAACATAACGAATAATAATCTTGATATTTTATCGCTGCTGTTACTGTCCGAATTTACAGTTATTCCGTGATTTAGATAAACCAAAAAAAAAAAGAAGTCGAAAAAAAAATATATCATTTGATTAGATCAATTGATAAAAATTCTTTTTTTTTTATCAATCATGCATAGAGAAAGTCTATTTAAGGCAGAAGAAAAAAAAAAGTTACTTATCATTTTTTTGTTGTTATTGTCCTATATACGCCTTATTACATAATTCTCTTTTTCTTCGATTAGCATTTATTGCCTCTTTCATTTATTGTACATAAGAAAAAAAAACTCTAACATACTATCGTTTATATGAAAAATGACTGATGAAATACCATATCGTCGTATATCTATCTGTCGACAATTATCTGATGTTTTAAAATCTAAACGTAAATCCTATAATGAATCACATTCATCAACATCAAAATTTTCTTGGAATTGTACATTAAGTACAATTGATTCACCCATAAATGAACAATCGAATATATCATTTGATGATCCAGTAGTTAATGGTCGTTTAATTAAACAAAAAAGTATTAGTTATGATGATGTTGTTTTTCTCGCATCGGAACAAAATATAACAACTAATCAAACAAAACAAAATGGTGGTGTTTTTTTCTTATTTAAAACAAATAGATTATAGAATTTTTTTATTTTAAAAATGTTTGTTTTTTTTTTAAATTTAGAAATAAACAATCGAGCATTGGCTAAAACATCTGCTGGTAGAGAAAGAAAAGAAAAACGTAATTCAACAGGTTCAGCAGTTTTACCATCGGTAAGTGATTAGAGTCAATTAGTATCTATAGACATATATGTATAAATATGTAACTATAAAATAGTAGATAAACACTTGACAGTCGTTAACAGGCTTGCTAGGAATAAGATATACACCTGTTTGTCATCGTCAAAATCAAGGAAAAGAATAAAAAGTGTATTAAGTGATGTGTATGATTGATATCATATTATTAGTTTTCTTTTTCTTTTATCATTGATAATACTAGAACCCGAAGAAAAAAATGTGACCTTCTCATCATGGCGTATAGACATAGGGAAAAAGACGCAATAAAGCTATGTCTCGTCTCGATTTTCACATTAATAGATACTTTTGATTATAGACGTTAAGCAGAGAGGAAAATCTTATTGCTTACTGTCAACAAATATATTTGGGTTCTTGTCTGTTTTATTTTCATATGTCTCAAGTTTCGAAGATTAGCCTCATTTACAGTAAGCTGCTATGCGGTATCCATAATCCTTCAAAAATACTTTCTCGTCGTCTATTATTGTTATTTTTCGGTTCCGGTATCGTTAAAAACAAATCTTGTCAGTGCATGAAACAAATCAATCTATGAAAAACATAAATATTTTTGAAAATAATCTTCTTTTTAATATTTTCTCGTTTTAGAATTCCAAATCATCATCAAAACGTTTATCAACACATTGTATGATGTTAGATAATGATGATAATCAAGATTCGAAATCATCTAATCGAACAACTAAAATTAGTCGATCAAGTATATTTACAAGTAGTATATTTACACGAGTAAGAATTGCAATTTTTTTTTTGTACAATAGATTTATTGATATAAATTTCTATATAAAAGGATGCAACTGATTTATCAGAACGTTCGGAAAGTAATCTTTCATTTGTTCGTCGAAAATGTGATGAATGGTTAACACATGGTTTACCCAAATTAGCTCAACTACAATGTTCTATTGATGAATGTGATTTAATCATTGAAAAAGAATGGCAACCATTTTTAACTGAACAAGCTCGAGCAGTAAATCATTTTAAATATTTTATAGAATCGATCTAAAATCATTAAAAAAACAATAGAAAATCTTAAGTGAATATATCTAGATCTAGGGTAACTGAACGCAAAAGGCTTTGTGAATTCGAGGCCACTACATGTGTTTCCGAAGCATTTCAAATATAGTATTTATTTTATTGTATAGTTGTATCATGGCAATGATAAATTTTGAAAAGTTCTTTTCTTTCTGTTAATAAGCTAATTGACAGGAAGAAGACGTGAGTTCCGTTTTGTCTTAAATATTCTATTCTGTAGAGAATAAAAGATAGGATAGTTCATATAATACTGAATTTGAAACTTTTCTCTTTCTCATCATGATAACATATGCATTATTGTAAAACAGGCCTTCTTAAAAAAGTCATCTTAACCCAACTTTATTTGTTAGATATATGATAAAATACAAGATGACCTAACTTTTATGAGTTATTAGTATTGGCCTTAAGTTTAAAGATTTACTAAAAAAATTCTAGCACTTGTATTTAAATTTGATTTGTAAATAATACTTAATAATATAAAGTATTGGAATATATTTTGACATCTATTATGATTTTATATGTTTAGCTTATGTCTGAGGCAACTAAACTTCAACAAGAAGCAATCTATGAGCTATTATCAACAGAAGTTTCTTATATACGTCAGATTCTAACCATGACTGATATACTTATGACAAGTATTAGTATATTAAAATCATCACAACGTGATGGTATATTCAATGATATTGATATGGAAAAATTATTTTCAAATATACAAGATGTACTTCATGGAAATTTATTATTTTGGAAAGAAATTTTATTACCAGTTAAAGTTAAACTTAAACAAAATGGTTTACCAATGAATCCGTCAGATTTTAAAAATGGATTTATTAATGTAAAATTTTACTTTTTTCGATTCATTTTTAAGAGTAATTTATTTATTTTTTTTTTGTTCATAGTTTGATGTTTATTTCAAACCATATTTGAATTATGTACTTGATCAAAAAACTAGTGCAGAATATTTTAAACAAAAATTGTCTCGTGATGAGTTATTTCAATATTTAATTAGTGTAAGATAAAATTTTATTAATGTAATAAGAAATGAAATGAAATTTTTTCTTTTTAGTGGATAGAAGGAAATTTTACTAATCGTTTATCATTTTCTGATTTAACTATTAAACCATTACAACGATTAACTCGATATAAATTATTGCTTGAAGCTATACAAAAGAAAACACATGATACTCAACAAAAAAATGATTTACATGAAATGGTAAAGCATAAATAAATTCAATTGATTATATAGGAAAATTAAGAGAGTAAATTGTACAGTTTCAAGATCAAAACAAAAATAGATACTTTGATGCATCATCAGGAACAAAAATCGATTACGTTTTCTTATTAAATCTGAAAGTGTGATGTTTTTATTTTAAGATCTAGATTATTGCATCATCTGTGTATCGTATGATTCTTGTTGAAGTCTGAGAAATCTCAAGAACTAGTTCAGTTAACAGAGTCAGCTCTTGTTGTCGTAATTATCTTCTGAACAAATAGAAATAAACTTAAGTAACATTGACTATGCTCAGATAGTTTTATGACTATTGTATTAGTAACCGGGTACGAATTAAATGATCAGTTGTTTTTCTTATAACGTGGTTAGTAGTTTTGATCAGTAAATAAATCCTTTCTGAGCAGTAAATAACAGCGAATGTCAGTAATCACGATCAGAGTGTGGGTGTGGATGTGCCTGTAGATGTGAGCGTCCATCTCTTATCCACCCACACCCAGTTTAAATTTTTTACTGATAATTCACAATAAAACTACTGATCATTTTGAATAAAAAACTGACCATTTAATTTGTACCCTTAGTAAACTATTGAAAATGGTAATCAACTGATAAAATGATTATCTAAGTTAACATCTGGTATCTCAAACATTTGACAATATATATATATTAATTTAGATTCAAAAAGTTGCAACATTTGTCAATCGAGTTAATTCAAAATTACATAATCAAGAACAAGAAGAACGTATTCGTCAGATAAGTGATCGTATAGGTCCATATGAATATGTTTCTGCACCACCAGAACTTACTTCTGTATGTATTTACTTTTTTTTGTTCCTAATTTTTATTTATTTTATTATTCTATTTAAAAGATCCTTCAGGAGTATAATCGTGATTCAACATCGAATCGTTTAGATCTTCTTCAAGATATGCCATTATATGTTCGAGGTCATCGTCGTCAGATTATTCAACAAGGTCCAATGAAAATGAAAGATTCAAAAAATAGTCAAGATGTTTATTGTTATCTTTTTACCGATATGTTTCTTATCACCAAAGGTGGAAAACGAAGTGGCTCAACAAATTCTCCATCATTACATAATGATAATCAATCAAATCGTTCAGCATCCAATATATCAAATAAAATTCTTAAACCACCAATACGTATAGATCGTTTAGATGTTCGAGAATATGATCGTCGTGGTGGAAATAGCACCAATACTGAACTAAATACTGTATGTTTTTAAATTAAAATAAGATTCAAACTTGTTGATTTCATTTATTTATTTTTTAGGCTTCAATTGTTGCTTTAATTTTTTCTGAATATAATTTAATTGAAAGTGCATATTTATTTCAAACAAATTTAAGTAAACAATGGATAGAAAATATTCGTACAACAAAAACAAATTTTCAATCATTAATGGAAGAATCAAAATTAAAATTTCAAACTTTAAATTCATCAACCAATTCTTCAGTATCAACAATTGTAAAACAGGAATCATTATCATCTCCATCATCACCATCCATTGACTTACCTATTTTAAATGTTGAAAATTCCAATTCTTCAAATGATAATACTCCTCGACGTTCATCAAAAGTTGAATCTGATGTATTTAAAATTGTTGAACAAACACGAAGAAATTCTCGTACAGATCGAAAAAATTTTGGTCGATATTTTACAGCTGATGGTACAAGTACACATGAAACCAATTCATCAACAACTCCAATTAAACAAATATCATCATCATCAGTAACAATTCTTAAACGTATGTCATGGAATAATGAACAATCAAGTGAAAAAACAGATTCATCATTAATAACCAATTCATTTCGCAGTGTACATAGTTCAAGTGGTGTCAGTTCAACAGGATCATTTTTATTTAGTACTGATGAAGATTCATCATTAACAACAACATCATCCTCAATACCGTCAATTGTACCTTCAATAAAAAATGAAGAATTTGATGGTCAAACTTCAATATCAACTGTTATTGGAATCGATGATCAAACACGACAAAATCTTTTACATCAAGAACGAAATGTAACTTCAGAAGATTGTCTTGACAATAAAAATAGTCAACAATCATTTACTCAATTATCATCATCGAGTACAAGTACATTAACATTAAATAATCAAACAATATTAGGTAAGATATATATTTTAATTACTTAGCAAAAAATATCAAGTGCTTCGATATAACAGAAAATTAGATCGTTCTTTTAACCCTAATAGTACCAAGTCTATTAATATAAATTTATGTTTAGAATCTACATCATCTGTGACTGGTCATATAACTTCACCGGAATCTGTTTTTCGTCGAACTCCATTTGCAAGTGTAAAAAAACGTAATCAAACTCATCGTTTACCATATCATCAACAGCTAGGACATCGTCGACATCGAATATTTGATGAAAATGATATACAATCATCAACACATACAATTATATATGATTCACCAAAAGCATTTCATGAACAAAAATTAATTCGAACAATACATTCATTAGATGATAATCCATTATTTATTACTAGTGGACATGAAAGTGATTATGATAATAATCGATCAACAACTATTCAAATCCCGGTGAATAATTTTTTTCATTCGAATGATTTATTACGTACAGATGATCTTTTATTGGGTGATCAAAATGAAATTACACTTCATAATGATACTCATATTGAAAATATTAACAATCAACAGTCAGATATTATTAGAATAACATCAACAAATTCTTCTAATAAAACTAATATACCAACATTAAATGATAGTACATCGACATCAACAAATCATCTAGCATATCGTAAAGATTCATTAACATCAAGACGATTAATTGATATTCGAAGTCATTTATTATTAAATACAACACTTGATGCAACGTAAGTCTTTTCTATTAACAAAAAGTTTTTCCATAATATCTTATTTCATTATATATTTAGGGAAGTATAGCAATTAAATGGATTATTCTTCGTCTTCTTCTTTTTCTTTTCTTTTTCTCTCTCTCTCTTTCTATATATATATTTTTCGTTTGTTTTCATTGTAAAAATTTTTGCCTGTGTGCGACATACAAATAAAACAGAACAGATTCTTTTGTATTAATAATATTAATTTATAACTTCAAATAACATAAGACAACTAAAAAATCAATTGTTTCAGGATGACTAGCAACATTACTATCAAAACTGTTTAAGAAATATGTGAAATGTACTAATCATCGATTGAAAAAAGTGAATATCATATTCTTAAGACAATTAGTTGATTTTGTTGAAAGAGCATCATTCAAATATTTAGGATTTTGAGTGGATCTGGAAGGTTGTTAAGTTTTTTGTATGAGCATTTTTTCTTGTTTATAGAAATTAGAAAAAGTTCTACAGAAATGATTAATTTAATGGACATCGACTAAAAACTTTTTATTCAATATTTAACATCCTTTCATTATTAATATTATTCTTCTGTTTAGTTTTCTGGATCATACTATATTTTATAAATATTCGATATAATCAATGGCCATTTAAAAGTGAAAATACAATAGACACGTTAATTATCATATTTCAAAGCTTTTTAGATGAATATAGAATGCTTAAGGATCATTTTGTAAACTGTCCATTTTTTTCTCCTATCATTTGTAATAGTACAAACAAATATAATAATTTAAGGTGTGTATGTGCAACGAATATAATACTCATGCCACATCCACACCCTTCAAAGATTGAAATAAAACGTTTTACCTTGCAGATTTTTGATAATAATACAAATGACTTATGTATTCAAAATTTCATAGAAATCAAATTTTGAAATATTTCAAATAAACATTTAAATGATCGATCTAATTATATTTATATCAATGTAATGCTGAATAATATTTACAGTTATATAATTTCCTCCAATCATACAAGCAACTTGATTCAATAAAAATATTTTATCTGTTATAGATTATTCTCGTTTAAAAAATCTTTTCTGTTATTTACTTAAAATCAAAATATAACATAATATTGATAAGATGAGTTTTTTTGTTTCAAATTGCTGTAGTAATTGAACTATAGGAATGGTAGATGCCTAAGAGATATAATTATGTAAGTAGGTTATATTTCCATTTTTTTGCTTGAAATTGATATTTTTTCTTGGGAGAAGAAGAGGGAATAACTCTTAAGAAAAAGAAATAAAAAAAAATAGTAAATTAAAAGAAGTTCATAAATCATTGCTGTTTAGTTGATTCATTTAAGAACATCGTCGACGTATTGTTTATTTTATATGAATGTTAACAAAATTTCAATAATTAACACTACTGAAACACAAAATTGTGTTTGATGACCTTCTTTTAGTATGAGTTTGTGTTTATAACTAAAATACATGAAGGCATCAAACCATAACTTTCCTTATTTATTATTATTTGATAGTATTTCGAAAAATTTGTTTTTGCTCATTAGTTTTTCGATGATGTTTCACTTAATGCAATTCATTGAGAAATACATAGATATAACAGACTGATCTAATCGATAATTTAATCATCTTTTCATTTATTATCACACATAACAAATGGCTTTTGCTTTTATAATTATATTCTTAATTTTGATAAATCATAAATTTAAGTAATTTGAGTTAGTTATAGAACTGTTTCTACTAACTTATGCATATCAAGGATTTTTTGTAAAAACTCTACAAGAAAAAACTTCTTTAGAACTGTTTGTATGAAAGATATCATTTGACTAAAAAGGTGATTCATCAAATCTAGAACATCCCTTTTCTTTTTTTTTTTTCTAGAACTTTGTAATGGATATGACCCGATCATTTCACAGTTACTGTCAAAATATATTTTCTATTATTTCGGAGAATTAATTAAGTTCTTTGATTTTGTATTGTATGTAGATATAAGAAGAAATCTCCGATATTTAAATCAATAGTATAAGTTTTCTTCTTTCATCGTCTATAGTGATGCTCATTTACCGGTATCTATATATTTTTGTTATTCTGGATCAAATTCAACGAGCGGTAAACTGAAAGTAACTAAAAAGTGTTTTCCTAATTATTGTTGTGTTTGTAATGAATACTTACTTACTTATTCATTTCTTTTATTTTTTTTGTAGCATTTGATTTTGAAAATATAATTAGAAACTGTTACTTAATATGTTGTTAAATAAGTGAGAAATAGAAAAAGAGAGAAAGACTAACTACTAGTATAGCATTTGTGTTTTCTTAATATTCAAGAACATCACAATATTTTACTGTTCATTTTGAAATCAGATTGAGACAATGGTTGATTTTAACAAACGATCGTTTTGGAATTTTACATTAAAAGATATATTAGCTATTATAAGTTCAGTCGCGATTCCCATAGCTCTTGCTATTTATACTTCAATTAGCTCTGAACAACAAAAACAACAAGCTGAGAAAAAACAGCAGTTTGATTTTGAACAATCAAGAGAATTAAGACAACAATCAATTTATGATGGATTTTTAAATAATACTTATAAATTAGATAAAGATGGTTATCTCAATGACACAAGAAATCCATGGGCATTTGCAAATGCATATTATCGTGCTGCTCATCGTCAATGGGATACAGTACGTAAAGCAGATGTTATACAATTTCTTAAAGAAAAACAACTAATTGGCAGAAATAATTGTACTAATGGATGTAGAACAACAAAACTAGATGATATAATTCGTTTAAATGAGTTAAATTTTGATAAGGTACATTTAGCAAGTGAAACTGGTATATTAAATAAATTGAATTTACAATGCATTTCTTTTGATCAGGTATCAATGTCAAATGTAATATTTTCATTTGCTAGTTTAAATGGTGCATCATTTGATGGAGCACAGTTAGATAAGGTGAAATTTGATGGTTCATCTTTACTTTGTGTTAGTTTCAATGGTGTAAATCTATCGGGAGCAGATTTTGGAGACTCAAATCTGACAGGTGCACACTTTTCAAACAGTGATTTGTCAGGAGCTAAAATAACGGAAGATCAAATAAAACAGGCAACGTTTGATAATGTAACTATGCCAAACGGAAAGAAGAGTGAAACTACAATCTCAACGACAACAAAAAAACCTGTAACACAAACAACAACAATAATAAAACCAAAAATGTCCACAGCATCATCATCATTAATCTCAACAACATCACCGATAACAACGTCATCATCATTAACAACAACGGCATCATTGTCACCAATGTCCACTACAACAAAAACAGCAACATCATCATCATCAACTACATCACGAACAACAATAACATCATCACCTTCCACAACAGAAGCAACATCAACAATAACATCATCATCAACAGCCGAAGCAACATCATTAATAGCAGAAGCAGCAGCAGCAACAACATCATCATTGAAAGAACCGACATCATTCACGGCAGCAGCAACATCATCAACAGAAGAAACAACGACAGCAATACCTAGTGAGTACTATGTTAAATCATTTGTAGTGACTCAAAAGACGATTGCTAGAGGTGAGGATATCTAAAAGCTTTGATTTTGAATGATAAATGATCGTCATCTAAATACACAACATTAGGGAACATTTTTTATCAGAGGTCGAAATAGTGCCTGTTTTTGATGACTTGATTTAATCTACACGTGGATATTCTTGTACTGCCCAACAGTATCAGATGAAAATATTGTTGATAAAAAGGTTCAATTAATCATTAGTGTACTCATTTTCGGTTCCCCTTAATAACGCGGAAAGTAAAAATGTCGAAAATAAAATTGCCGAATAGTAGAAATATCGAGGTGTGAGTATGAGTATCAGAGTAAAGTTAATGTAGTAACCATACCCACACCCACACATCAACACCCTCAAGATGCTTTCACTCAAATTCCAAGATTCGATCATTATCCATCATAACTGAATTGTAAAACAGCGATTAAATTATGTCAGTTTGCAACATCGGTAGAACTCGAAAAATATCAATGAATTTGTTTATAACATATTTTTCATTAATTTGATTTAACATTTCGTAGTGCATCTTAGCTTAATCACGAAAACAAAGAGAAGTGTATTGAAGGTTCGAAATCATTTAATCTGTCCTCAATAGATAGATAGTTTATGCACATGAGAGATTCGAAGTCATTTTAAGAACAACATTTTCTGTTCACTTTTCCGCCTTATCTAGAATGGACAACCACAGGAAAAATGAGTGTCGCACGATTTTGGCACACAGCATCCACATTAGCAAATGGATTAGTATTAGTTACTAGTGGATCCAACGGTATTACTG